GAGGATCGCGCCCATTAGTGGAAACGGGGGGGGGGATCAACTCAGAGGCGCGAAACAACACATGTAACAAACTAGGGAAATCGAGGGGGGGCAGTATATGGGGGGGGGGTCGCCGATTGCCTACGGGCAGGTAAATGACCTCCAGTCCCCAATCGAGGGTCCGGTCCTCCACACGACCGCCGGATGAACCCCAGTTTCAGAAAAGTACTGTACAGAGATGGGGAGGGAGGATGAAAACACGCGGGCGGAAAGTACTAGACGGGGAGAGCACGTGGGTGCCCCTATCTCACAAAAACATTGAGGAAATCGACTTATAAAGTGAGTCCAAATCTTACAGAAAAAGACAAAAATTGAGGAGATTCCCCCACCCCCATCCACAACTCCAGGCTGTTCTTTGCCCCCCCCCCTTTCCACCCCACGGCCCCGATCCCAGTCGTTACCTTGCCAGTCAGGCGCGCTCCGTCCTCTCCTCTCGCAGCCACGCGGTTCTCTGTTACGGTCCAGCGTGTGCGTGTCTCTTCCTGGCTGGCGTTGACTCACCCCCGGCGGCCCCGCCAGCTGGAAAGGGGAGGGGATTCCTTCGCGTTCCGCATACGTCACGGGCCATAAAAGGAGATCCTGGCTGCGTGGGAACTTCCAGGTATTGGGGAGACGCAGGGAGCGGAGGGAGGCGCCAGGGGGCGCTGCAGAGTGTGTGTATTGGGGGGGGGGTTTTTCCCTAAGCTTGACCGGGGCCGCAGACGGTCAAGTTTGGGGCAGTCGCGGTTAGGAAAAGTCTACATCATCTAATCTTTTTGTCCCCCCTCCCGATGCTGATGCTTTCGTTTTACACATTATAAAGTTTCAGACCCGGATTTCTTTTGCCCAAATATTTGAAAGTCTGGATAACTGAGTAAAGCAATTGATACGCCTCCTCTCCAGGGGCATCCCCAAAAGACAGCTTGCAGGGGAATTAAAAAAAAAAAAGACTGAATATTTAATATTAAAAGCAGGCTGGCGTGAAGAACTGGGTGTGCTTAGAGCTGGGGTGTCAAACATGCGGCCCAGGGGCCGGATCAGGCCCCCCCCTTCTCTCAGGCCCACAGTGGAACTGGCTGTCTTCTGCTTCTTCTTCCAGTTCTTCTTCTTCCAGTACTGCTGCTACTGCGTCATCCTAGGTTTGCAGCTTACAGATATACACCTGAACAGCAGAGTCAAGATTGCAAAAGCACAGGCATTTTGATGCAATAATTCAGAGCAAGAGGTGTCAGTTCTCAGACACTGTTAAATAAACAAAATATTGCGAGAGTGCTGATGTTTTAAGCATGATGTTATTTTAAGTTATTTATTTTTTTTATTCCATTTGTATCCCGCCCTCCCCAGGAACAGGCTCAGGGCGGCTTTGTGTTTGAGTCCTTTATAAAGTTTATCTCTCCACTACCTGGCATCACATTGGATGGCACACATGGCCCGGCCCAACAAGGTCTCATTTATGTCAGATCCGGCCCTCATAACAAATGAGTTCGACACCCCTGGCTTAGAGGGCAACTAGTTCTGTTTGCTTCTGCAATGAGGTGGCGTTAAAAGTGTCTGGGAAGATCCAGGTTCGAATCCCCACTTGGTGCCATGGAAGGCTGGGTGACCTTGGGCCTGTCAAAGTTTGACTCCAGTACCAGGATAAAACTTTGTTGGTCTCCAACTGTGCCTCTGGACTCCACCTTTAAGACCAACCTTTAAGACCAGCATTCTGAGTATAAGTTTTCATGTGTGTGCCTCTACACAGCTACCCACCCCCATCCACCAGGGAGGTACACCTGGCCTCCAGAGAAGAGAGCTACCCGCCTTAGGCTTCCATGGGGTAGACCTGGCGTGCACACGAAAGCTTATGCCAACCCAGAATAGAACTTGGTCGGTCTTCCAGGTGCCGTTGCTTCCGACCAACAGGGCTACCCACCCGAATCTATCTTCTTAAGCCCCTCAGCCTAACCGACCTCACAGGGTTGTTGTGAGGATAAACACAGGAGGAGAGTGATGTAAGCTGCTTTTGGTCCCGATTGGGGTTAAAGTGGGGAGGGATATAAATCAAGTAAATGAATAAGACAACCCACCCTCTCCTAAGCAGCTCCCAGCATGCCTAATTCCCCCCCCTCTATTTTATCTTCACAACAACCTTGAGAGGTAAGGGAGGCTGAGAGCGTGACTAGCCGGACGTCATCCGCTGAGCTTCACGGCTGTGCAGCAGGGAACTTGACTCTGCAGGATCCGGGTCCAGCGCCCTGACCACTCTACCGCACTGTTCAGCAACCACCTCGGATGATACATACAGAGAGGGGTGATTGTGTTGCCAGTCAGGTTTCCAGCTCTGGCTTGGGAAATCCCTAGAGATTTGAGAGGGGAGGCCAGGAAGGGACGACCCCAGCCGTGTATCTACAGTGGGGCATTTTGGGGCCTGGCCCCCTGACTTCCTGCCAAGGCCCCAGGCCCTCCATCTCTCTGGGCTGCCTGGAGGACTCCCCCACCAGCAGCAGCCCTTCCCCAAGCGTGGCTTGCTTCCCCATGTAGGCAAGCAGAATGCGAACACCACAAAAGTGAGTTTTAACATTTTTATTTTATTTTTTTATGTCAGTGCCCCCCAATTTAATTAAAGGCCCCCTGAATGACAAAATCCTGGCTACGGGCGAGGAGGAACCACAGCAGGGCTGTGCTGCTGACGAGTCCACCCTCTGAAGCAACCGTTTTCTCCAGAGGGCTACGCTGTCCACGGTTAAATATTGGGAGCAGGGCTATTTTTAACCGTCAGTTAGGTCAGTTTTCTGTCACTCACGGAATGCTCCAGCCAAAAGGCCCCCTCCCCTCTAGGTCATGTGACTCAGCCGGGATCTATCTTAACATTCTGCTGGTCCCAGAGTTTCAATTCCGTCACATCCCCCCCTCGGCGACTCTGAGGTGGGCGGGCCAGGGGGGGGCCCTGGAAAGATCGGGGAGGCATTTAAATGCCCCCCTGTGCCTTCCCCAGCCTTTCCAAGGATGCCCGGGCAAGCCAAGGGAAGCCATGGGGATATGCTAATGAGCTGCACTGTCAGGGGTGTGGCCTAATATGCGAATGAGTTTCTGCTGTTGGGCGTGGCCTATTATGCTAATGAGTTCCTGTTGGGTTTTTTCTACCAAAAAAGCCCTGATTGGGAGCAACTCCCCCCAAAAAAACCCTTTTGGCTTCTTTTACAAACTTTGGAAGAGGTGTTAACCATTCATTGTTCCTGCCTTGTGAAACTTTATATCTTTGAATAATCGGAAACCAATACCTTTGAGTAATTGCTTGTAAAATGTATATTGCTAGGATCTCATATGCTATAAGATAGTAAACTGTAGTAATTAGTATCAGAGCCTTTTTTTTTCTGGGAAAAGAGGCGCCAGAACACCCAAGAGGGGAATGAAGTTTTCAGTCCGTATGCTGAAAACTCATGAAGTTTTAAACATTTTTAAAAGGATTTTGTGGAAGAGGTTCTGAGACTCCATTCCAGCGCATTAGCCCAGAAAAAAAGCCCTGATTAGTATGCAGTAAACATTTTGTACATGGTGTTACCTTGTTACTTATAATATTTTCTCCAGAGGAACTGATCTGGATCGTCTGTGGCTCTGTTGTGGTATCAGGAGTTCTCCAGGCTCCATCTGGAGATTGGCAACTCTAGTTGCAAGAAGGAAGAAGAAGAAAAGGAAAGAGATAGGAACAGGAGTTTTGTCAGCTTCGGCAGAGTAGCGCCTGCTTTGTCAGGTACTGTCAGTGAAACCTTGCGAGGTAGTCATGCTATGGAAGAGTATACAGAAGCTTCAGGGGGGGGGAGAGCCCTCCCCCCCACCCCCCTCCATAAAATGACTGCACAGTAAATATTTGCTCATTGTATCTGAAATGATGTAGCGGTTAGAGCGCTGGCCCACTCATTTCCTGGCTGTAGAAACTGAAACTGAATATACTGCACGGCCCACTTGAAATGTTTTAAATCGGTGTTATTGTATAGATTTAGAAGACGAAGAAGAAGAGATTGGATTTATACCCAGCTGCCCTTCACAACCCAAAGGTGTCTCAGAGCGGCTTACAAACTCCTTTCCCTTCCCCTCCCCACAACAGACACCCTGGGAGGTGGGTGGGGCTGAGAGAGCTCTGACAGAAACTGCTCTTTCTCAAGAACAGCTCTTATCAGAGCTACGGCTTGCCCAAGGTCATCCAGCCAGGTGCAAGTGGAGGAGTGGGGAATCACACCCGGTTCTCCCAGATTAGAGTCCGCGCACTTAACCACTACACCAAACTGGCTATTTAATGTTATTTAATAACTTAATGTTATTTATTGTCTAATCGGCTTATTTTAAGCTTGTATTAAATTTATTGTTGCCAGCTGCCCTAAGCCCACTCGCGGGAAGGACAAGATAGAAATTGAAATAATAAACAAAGAGAAGAGAAGAGATTGGATTTATACCCCGCTCTTCACTACCCAAAGGAGTCTCAGAGCGGCTTACAAACTCCTTCCCCTTCGCCTCCCCACAACAGGCACCCTGTGAGGTAGAAGAAGAAGAAGAGATTGTATTTATACCCCGCCCTTCACTACCCAAAGGTGTCTCAGAGCTGCTCACAAACTCCTTTCCCTCCCCCTCCCCACAACAGACACCCTGTGAGGTGGGTGGGGCTGAGAGAGCTCTGACAGAAACTGCTCTTTTTCAAGGACAGCTCTTATCAGAGCTACGGCTTGCCCAAGGTCATCCAGCCAGGTGCAAGTGGAGGAGTGGGGAATCAAACCCGGTTCTCCCAGATTAGAGTCCGCACGCTTAACCACGACACCAAACTGGCTCTAGAGTGTAGGACTTAGATCTGGGACACATGGGTTCGAATCCCCACTCTGCCAAGGAAGCTTGCTTGGGCCACTTACCCCCCCCCCATCTTAACCTTACCTCACAAGAGAAAACAGCAAGAGCCCAGTAGCACCTGAAAGACTAACGAAATTTGTGGGAGGGTAGGAGCTTTTGGGAGCCACTTCTTCTGAAATGAGCATAGATCGAGATGGGTAGCCATGTTCATCTGTTTGGTGTAGTGGTTAAGTGCACGGACTCCAAACTGGGAGGACCGGGTTTGATTCCCCACTCCTCCAGCTAGTTCTGTCAGAGCTGTTCTCTCAAGGGCAGTTTCTGTCAGAGCTCTCTCATCCCCACCTACCTCACAGGGTATCTGTTGTGGTGAGGGGAGGGGAAGGGAAAGGAGTTTGTAAGCAGCTCCGAGACTCCGAGTGAAGGGCGGGGTATAAATCCAGTTTCTTCTTCTTCTTCTGTAGCAGTAGAAAACAGCAAGAGTCCAGTAGCAACTTAAAGAGTAAGAAAACTTGTGGCAAGGTAGGCGCTTTCGTGAGTCACTGCTCACTTCTTCAGATACCAGTGACTTGCGATAGCAGTGACTCACACAAGCTCCTACCCTGCCACAAGTTTTATTCATCTTTAAGGTGCTCCTGGACTCCTTGCTCTTTTCTAA